AGTTTCTGCAGAAATTCTTTGGTTATGCACACCGATTGTTGCTGCAGCTGTCCAGGTGGTGATCTCAAACAATCTTGGAGGTGAAGATGCTGAGTGTGGAGGCCCTGGGCTGGTGTGGCCACACGTGGTCTGCAGCTGTGAGGTCGATTAGATGTCCTACCAAATTCTGTGAAACACCTTTGGAGATGGTTTATGGTAAAGAAATGAACATTCAGTTCATGGGCAACATCTCTAGTGGGCATTCCTGCAGTCATCATGCAAATTGCACATGCCCTCAAAACTTACAGCATCTGTGTCACTGTGCTGTGTGATAAAACTGCACATGATAGAGTGGCCTCTTATTGTGGTCAGCCTAAACACGCCTGTGCAATAATCATGCTGTCTAATCAGCATCTTGATATGCTACACCTGTGAGGTGGATGGATCATCTCGGCAAAGGAGAAATGCTCACTAACACAAATTTACACAAATTTGTGAACAATGTTTGAAAGAAAAAGGCCTAATGGAGGGCCAAGATGGGGTAGAGGTAGGTCAGCTGACCTGGGACCAGAAAATCACGGCTCGACTCCCAGCCATTCACACATGTCGTGGCGTCTCTGAGCGAGTCACCCAATCCCCAATTGCTCCCTGGGCACCCAATAGCTGCTGACTGCTCCACCTGGGTGTATCTCAGGTGCGATGGGTTAAATGCAGAGAACAGATCATTTCCTCATTGTATGGGAACATACAATGATGACAACACAGAGCACGTCTACTTATATTCATTATACTTATATAATGTGTACATACAAAAAGCCTTATAACTTTTTCAGCTCATGAAAAATGAGAGCAAAAACAAAAATGTGTTAATGTTTTTATTCAGTGTAGTTTGAAGCATAAGTTTGTATACAAATCAATAAATCTTGTGGAAATATTGATAACACTGATATGTGTTGGCACTTATTTTATGAAACTGTGATGTTTAATAGTGCAGATAAAAGAAAATGAATAACTTTGTATTTTAAGAAATCTGTGAGTTTTAAATGTGATAAATTAAAAAAAATGTCATGGAGTAGAAGGAGTTAAACAGGATGTAGACGTGAGCTAAGTCGTATGAACTCCACATGTGTGAGGAGCGTGTCCAGTCCAGTCCCAGTACTCTGGTATTTGTACTTGATAAATGTTGGGAATTTTTCAAACTGGAGGCTCGATTGAACTGATGTTCATCACATGCTTATCTTCAGACTCACAGCGACTGTCAGAGAACAATCTGGTGGCACTTAGAACAGACAGGGCCCAAAACTCCTAATACCAATTTAATGTGTCTCCATTCTGCTGGGTTTTAAAGCCCGTGCCCAAGTTTTCTGCTTGATGACTTTTTGCTTATAAAAAGGTAATTTAATGGTCGTTAGTGCACATTTTCTTCCTACTGCTGGCCAGATCGTTTTAGCACTTGGGCACAGTATTAGACTGAAGATGATGAGCACATTTTAAAGGTTTAATTCCAACATTGTGTTGGTCGTCTCCGTTTAGGATATGATTTGGCACCCTCTGCAGATCACAGCTCTGAGTGCAGTTATTGTTGAAAAAGTTGTTTGCATCATTAATAATTTGGAACATTTCACAAATGAAACTGATCGTTTGTGTCTCTTTGTTTAGGATTACCTGCATTGTTTTTCAAGTTGTACTGATTTAAACTACATAGTTGTTTGTGTGACCTCCTATGTGTATAACAGTCCCAAATAATGATTGGCTGTAAGAAGTACTGTAAACACATTTTGTTTTTAAGAACTTGATTTTTTTAAGCTTGTTTTTTGAAAAATGTGTCTTTGATCTAATTAAATCATAGTGAGTATAAATCTTGCACATCATTAAGTGTGGGTGGCCGTCAAGAGATAAAGCTCATGTGGCAAATTAAAGAAGGAATATTCTGAACATTCAAGAGGGTTATCTTGATGTTTTCACAACTAAACATGAAAAAATACAGTTTTATCAAATGTCAGCACAACTAACCAAAAATACTGAAATGAGCTGGGGAACATATCTCCTTGTTGCTTTCTTTTGGATTAGTTTCTTTTTTCCTGCTTTCTGAATGGAAACAAAATTAAGATAACTTGGGCACTGAAGACCTGTTAACATAACTGAAAAATAAGTCTTTATTACCGGTTGTTAACAAGTTTCATATAAGTAAAATAAAATAAAAACGTGATTAAATGGGAAGTCACAGAAAGTATCAAACTAAAAACGTGAAAAGTTTGCTAATACTTGGCCAACAAGCACAGAGAAAAATGACAGTGAATTAAATGTAAGATATAGCAATATTTAATATTCACTACTTTTCATCTTCAGTTTGCACGTCTGACTCGAATCACAAACATACACTATAAAGATACGCATAAAATGATCTAACTTAAAATTTTCAATATAATTTTCACAAACTGTGTGCTGTACAGTATGTACATTTATTTTCAGGAGCTAGTTGCATTAAACATATTTAAGAGTATTTTAAAACATTTTTAGAAACAAACATGGGCTTTTGTTTTATCTTTCATGAAATGTATGTTTTAGTCATGTAAAAAAAAGGGCCTTGTAACCTGGAATACCTTACACAAAGATCTGAAGCTCTCGACTTTGACCTTTCTAAGGGATTTTAAACAATTAAGTTCCATACAAAAATCATTTAGTATTTTACCCTGTTTCATAATGTAGTTTTTTTTATTTCGTTTTCATTTTATATGATTTTTTTTACTATTCATTGTTGTGTGTACCTCATCTATGTGTTTTTGTTTAAAACAGGTTTCTCCTGAAAATGAGTCCTCATGACTCAATCAGACTAACCTGTATAAAAAAGGTTGAACGATTCACCATATTTTAAAGAATATATTTTATGGTTTCTATTATTATAACGTTTACTGTTATTGTTGTTAAAGTTTGTTTTATTAATATTTGTGTTTTGTTGTCAGTTTTGGTCAGAACACTCTTGTAAACGATTTCTACTCTGGTAAAATAACGAAAACAATCATTTAGGACCTCACTTTTGGATTTATTTTGAAAGTATTTAACAGAAATGTTTAACGTTTGTACAAGTTCCAGCTTGACAAAAATAATGTGCTGCACTTACACAATATGACCACAAGAGGGCAACAAAGGCCCGTAGCTATGGGGGAGCAGTGGACCAGTGCAGTTTTTCAGTGAAAAACAACAATGAAGCAGCTGCTGAATAACTCCTATAACAAGTAAGCATCATTACATTCATGTATCTGCATTGATAACATTCCGTCAGTTTTTACTTTGATCGCTGATTATATAATAATTATTATAGATAGATAGATAGATACTAAAAAAATGCTATATTTGTTACAGTACCAATGCAAACAATATCCCCATTACTTTAAATAATGTATAAATCTATGTATTTAAAATACAACATTAACAACCTATCAACACATTTATTGTTAATCGGGTTACTTACTACCCTCTAGTGGCTACACAAAGAACTGCATAATCTAAAAAATTGTTCAGTGGCACATCCGTTACATACTTTCACAATGAAAGCGTGAATCCACTTTATAATGTTTACTCTTATTGTTGTTAAAAGTTGATTTATGGATCTTTGTATTTTTTTATCGGTTTAGGTCACAACATTCTTGTAAACAATTTTCCCCTGGTAAAATAAATAAAATAATCTTCATTTATGACCGCACTTTTGCGTTTATTTCGAAAGTACATAACGGAAATGTTTTACGTTTGAACAAGTTCCATTTTACAAAACCAATGATCTGCACTTACAAAATATGACCACAAGAGGGCAACAAAACCCCGTAGCTGAACAACTGAACAACTCATAACAAGAGAGCAACATGCTGTCGGGTTTATCACTTTTGATCGCTGATTATAATAATAATAATAATTATTATTATTATCATTTTTTACTGACCTTTATTTAACCATGTCTCTTTTTGAATGGAGGCCTTGGCTTGAAATACAAATAGCAAATTAATTAATTGTTTTGAAAAAAAAAAGCCATATTTGTTACGGTACCAATGCAAACAATATTCCTATTACTTTAAATAATATCTAAAATTATGTATTTAAAATGCAACATTAACAAACTATCCTCAACACATATGATTTCTGTGTCCTCAACACATTCATTGTTAATCGGGTTACTTACTACCCTCTGGCGGCGACACAAAGAACTGCATTAAAGCTGATGAAAAATCGTTCATCGGCACATCCGTTACATACTTTCACAGTAAAAGCGTGAATCCGCTTTATAATAGTTAATGTTACTGTTGTGAAAATGTGGTTTATGAATCTTTGTGTTTTGTTATTAGTTATATAATATATAGTATATTATGGTCAAGCACTCTTTTAATCTTTTAAACGATTTTACCCTGATAAAATAAAGGAAATAATCATAATTAATGCCCTGACTTTTCCGTTTATTTCGAAAGTACTTAACGGAAATGTTTAACGTTATACAAGTTTTAGCTTGACAAAACAAATGCTCTGCACCTACAAAACCTGACCACAAGAGGGCAACAAATCCCCATAGCTCTTGGGTAGTAGTACTTGGACTAGCTTGAAGCAGCTCAGAAGTACGCAACATTCTGTCATTTTTATTACTTTTGTGTTCACTGATTATTATAACAACAATAATAATAATAATTATTATTATTATCATTTTTATTTTTACAGACTTTTCTTTAACAGGCACTATATAAAAACAGGTCTATTTTTGAATGGAGCCCTTGGCCTGACACATAAATAGAAAATTAAGTAACATTTTAGAAAAAAAAATCGCCATATTTGTTACGGTATCAATACAAACAATATCCCCATTACTTTAAATAATATATAAAATTATGTATTTATTGTTAATACGAGTTACATACTGCCCTCTAGTGGCGACTCAAAAAACTGCATAAATTGGATTAACATAATCGGTCAGCCGCACATCCGTTACATACTTTCACAATAAAAGCGTAGATCCGCTTTACGCTAACATTGATTCTTCCGGTTACAGTTTTGCTTCGAAAAGGTCACGAGGGCGCCGTAAAATCGGTCAGACAGCGTCGAATGTTTTGGAAGTCGTGCTTTACTTCAGAAGTAGGTGTGGTTGTGAAGTTAACATTATTAGCTGAACAGACACGTTGGTCTACAAGCTAACTGCTAAGCTGCGCTGTCAGGTAAGTAAGACAACCTGTTTATAGTCGTCAGTCACGGGGGGATATTAACTGTTATAATAAAATGTCAACAGTTTTGCTTGCTTTATTAATCATGTTTAGTGTGACATTAAAAACTTATAACAACAGACCTTCAGCGTTGTTGATGTTAGCCTCGTGGTTGTTGTTGTTTGGCCATTGGGTTAGCTTGTTTTGGTCCAGTACAACTGTGAGATATTTTGTTTTAAGGAGCCTATAAATTTACTTCAAACTGAGTTTAGAGGCAAAGCCGAGTAACTTTTCAAGCGTAGCTCTTAAGTAAACTTGGAAAAATGTTTGCAATTGTTTATTATTAGGATGCCCTTTTCCCCTCATGCTCTTATTTTTGCCCAAGGTCTGATGACATAAATGACACAACAATTTGCCAACAAAGCTGATTTTTGATGTCTTTTTTTCAGAGGGAATGGAGAAGGCTAAAGAAGATGCATTCAATAACGCCAGACTTCAAGTGATCAAAGATGGCTATGAGAAGGCTTTCGAGTGCATCAACAAAGGACTCACAGCAGATGAAGCTGGAGACAAGAAGCAGGCCCTGGAGTTCTATAAGCAAGGCCGTAAACACCTTCTCAGGGCCATCAGTGTGCCTTCGACCGGAGACGAGTGTGTTGGCAGCTCCTGGGAATCGGCCAAACAGATACAGCAGAAGATGCAGGAGACGCTGAACAATATCACCACCCGCCTCGCCATATTGGAGACCAGCTCTGATGAGGACTCTGCAGCCATGCAAAGTTCTAGCAGTTCTGCAGAAGCTTTTTACCCAAAGCTCAACGCCAAAGAGAGACCAGCTCCACCAAACCTGCCTAGTGGACTCGGAGCAGCAGGAGCTGCAGGAAGCACAGCTGGAAACAGTCCACCTGTAATCCCTGACGATCAGCCTCCGGCTTATTCTCCTCAGGCGGCTGATGGTCACATGACTATCTCCTTTGGGACAGAATCAGGGGAAATGTCAGCAGTTGGACAAGAGTTCTACAATCGTTCCAACTCAACCCCATCTCCTCAGAGCTTGGGGGAAGAAGGAGAGGAGCTGCTGTACATTCCACATGGTGTTCAAATATTCTTTGTCACACCTGAGAGCCAAGTGAGCGCCCCTTCATACCCAGGCTACCTTCGGCTGGTGAAGTTTACCAGTGACCGCTCTGACACCATGCCCAATCGACCACCAGCTTTTCTGCAGGTATGACAGAAAACATTCCTTTTCCTAAAGCCTAACAACGATAAGTCAACCTCCTGCCCGTCTGATGCAATAAATGCAAAGTAAAGGTCATCACTGCTGTTTTGGATCTGTTCTGTGCCCTTTCACCTGATTTTGGAATGTGTTCAAGACCTCTTAAGATCATTTCGACTGTGCGATGATAGCCTTGTCAGTGATCGATGTCCTTTGCCCTATGAACACAGACGTGTGGGAGTTGTTTATCCAGTTTCCCTAATCAGAAAGACTGATGTCATCCAGTGAAGAAGACGAGATCAGGATTAGGTCTCTTCAAGTTGGAGAAATTGTTCCTTTAATCATATTTGGTGTGGGGATTATTGGACAGCATTACTGGGAGCATTCTGTTGTTCCAATCACTGATTTCATCCTGATAGTATAATACATGTTTGTAGGAGTGCCTTAAGCACACGTTAAAAAAAAACAACTAGTTTTTTACTTGTTGTGGTGCCTATATCTAAATATCCCAACCACTGATAAGTAAAAAAAAAAGAATAAATCATCTTGTTGAGGCTAAATCGAAACATTATAAAACCTCTTCCTCCTGGCCTAGTTTGACTTATTTACTGTTTTACTTTGATGGCAGTGTTTGGTTTTTGTCCCATCCATCATCTTTGACACTGCTGCGTCATGAAACTGAAATTTGACTCTAATAGGGAATTTCCAGTGGGTGACATCAGTGAATCACATGAGCACAAGTAATTACATCACCTCAGTCTACACTGTGATCCTGTTAGACATGCAGCAGAGAGGATGTCTGTGTTCTGACATTTCTCTGTTTTCACTCATTGCAGTACTTGCAGACGTCTTTGTGTTTACATTTAATCCCATTTTCAATTAAACTCACTCACTGCGTGTTGGTGAATCAGAAACTCTGCTTGAATACAAATAACTACCATCCCACCCATTATTAGGCAACTGATTGGCTGTCGTTTATTTCAAATGACAAATTTTCAACTGTTTTTCTGTCATTCGGCAGGTGTGTGATTGGCTCTACCCTCTCATGGCCATGAACTCACCTGTGTTGCTGTGTAACACCGGGGTGTTTATGTTTCCGGACATGATGGCGCCAGGGCCAGGCTACTACGTGGGGGTGGTGTTGTCCTCCGAGCTGCCCGCTGCAGACAGAGATGTGTTTCAGGACCTGTTGTCCCAAATGACCGATCTCAGGGTTCAGGTCAGTGTCGTGTCTGCACCAACACAAGCCATTTTACACATTTCTTGGCAAACATTTGCAAATGAACTGTAAATGTAATAAACATTTATCAGTGCTCCTGGTTCTTTGTATGTTCATTCAGCTGCAGAAAACATTTTCATTGTTTGAAGTAGGGATGCACAATATTATCAGCATGGCATCGGTATCGGCCAATATTAGAGATAAAGTTAAATATCAAACAAAGTTTGCATCTGGACGTTGTCTCCTTTTCACCCTCTGTACATGAAAAATTCCTCCAGGTACGGCCACGGGCACTCGTCCTCAGCCCTTACCTCCTCATTTTCTCTGTTGACAGTGTTGTCCTCTGTCTCCATTTTGTGTTTTTCTCCAAATCTTCGGTCCATAAATGACTCTACTCTATGGAGTAGTCCTTTGCTTACGTCATGGGTAATTGCTGCATTCGCGATCTGAGAGTCTTATTGGCTACAAAGATACAGATGAACGTTTGAATATTAATTCAAATTGTGGCCGTACTCAGTAGCGACGTCTGATTTTAAAAGTAGAGAAGTAGATTACATGGTCTAAATTGTACTTAAGTATGAGTAAAATTACAAGTACCCCAAAAAATCTGCTTAATTACAATAATGTGAGTATTTGTAATTGGTGCATGTATGAAAGTTGCTATTTTTGTATGACAGCCCAGTGACGAGGATGCCTGCAGAACCAGCACAACGTTATGACGTCACGTGCGCCGTTGACTTTAGATTTGTGCAAATTTACAAATTTGCACTGTTCGAATGTTGTCTTTGTGTTAGAGAGTAAATGTGATGAATAATTTTGACATTAAACAATCCAAGTTCAAGTGTTACATCATTTTCAGCCCCTCTTTTAGCATCTACATTTGGTAGCAGCCAAACTGACAAAGACCGTGCAGAATAATGTATTTTAATTCCACAGCAGAGAAAGCTCTGTAGTCTCTAAGTAGGTCTAGGAAAAATATATTGGTATTTGTATCGGCCAAATAAGTTTTAACATATTGTCATATCGGCCAAAAATCCAATATCTTACATCTCTAATTTGAAGTCATCAGTTTGCACCGTGCTTTATCTCGTGCCACTGGGGTAAGAGAAAGCTATTTTAAGATGATGCTGGCGTTAACGTGCTCTGCAGTGTTGGGATTGTGATTTCTCAACACTTTTACCATCCCAGCCTCATCTATTTTAGTCAGTTGTCATAAAGAATTATGTCGGTCACATACATTTAAAAATAATTTATTTTTCCTCTCAGAACTTTATTTTTTGCTGCATATTAGAAACAGTTGACTGAAGAAAGTTTGATCTTTTTCATTCCTTTATTTGGCATCGAGTGCCTGCCCCTTCTTCCCACCAGTCTGGCATCTTTCCCCAAGTGAGCCCTGCCTCAGCATTGAGGGGATTTGATCCTGGCAGGTGAGGAGAATTAATTAGTTATAATGCTCTTATCTGCAGCACTTAGAACAACTTCAGAGCCTCAGCTGAAAGACAAGTGTCAGTTCAGCCTTGATGGAAGTAGAAATGGTGCTCATGTTGCGACAAGGTGACTCCTAGAAATGTATTCTGGATAGATATTTTCTCTGATGGACGTGGTTCCCTGTCAGAGTGTAAGTTTATTTTGTTGGTTTTATTTTGGGTTAAAGCAGAGGATTTGGGATTTTTTTTGCTTGCGCACAGCTTGCATAGCTTTTCCCAAACAGCCTGTTTGGGGTAAACAGATGGAGCATTGTGATAAGAAGCGCCGAATGAGAGGAGCTACTGTGTTGTGATCAGCATGGACAAAGAACCAGAATTCTGTTTTTTATTCTCAAACATTTGGACTGTGAACATATTCTTAATTGCAGTCCACACTGTTGTAGTAGCTCACCAATGTGTGTGTATGATCAGCCTCCAGATGAAGCTGCAGACTCAGTTAATCTCAGTCAGAAGGTCTCCATTCCCACACCCGAGGACACTGAGCAGGAACCAGCAGAGACCGAGGAGGAAAAGACTCTACCCGAGTGGAGTGAAAAGGTGGCAAGTGGAATCTTAACAGGTGAGGTCAACGTCTTCTTGCTTTATTAGTTTGGATCTATAATGCTTTTTATTGAGGCTGAGCTGTCCAGACTGAGCCTGTTCGATCCTGTCAGGTGCATCCTGGTTAAGCTGGGGCCTGGTGAAAGGTGCCGAGTACACGGGCAAGGCCATACAAATGGGTGCATCTAAACTCAGAGAACACATCACCCCGGAGGACAAGCCTACAAACGTCAGCCCCACTGTCACTAAAAGCCTCCACGTGGCCAAGCAAGCAACGGGAGGAGCTGTTAAAGTCAGCCAGTTCTTAGGTGACCAAGTCCTCCCATCAGCGTGTTTCTGACCTTGTGATTCATGCGTTTGGCAGCAGATCTCTAACGAAGTGGTGCTGTGTCACTGCAGTGGACGGGGTGTGTGCCGTCGCCGGCTGTGTGGGTCGAGAGTTGGCTCCTCACGTGAAAAAGCACGGAGGCAAGCTGATTCCTGAGTCCATGAGAAAAGACAAGGATGGGCGTTCTAACATCGATGGAGCCATGGTGGTGGCAGCCAGTGGAGTTCAAGGTAAACTAGAACTGTGTCCCCTCGAAAGGGATTTTATATTTGTGAAACATGGTTGGTGAAGAGATGTGCATGCAGCATTTCCTGGTTTATTATCTCATATTTAGAAATGAATAAATGAAGGCGTTGACCTGCTGAGTGTTGTAAAGGTGGTTTGAGTTAATTACAGTAGTACCTCGTTTATCACGGGGGTTATGTTCCACACATCCCTGATGGGTGACAAACCGAGAAGTAGGAACACTATTTATTTTAGTATTTATATATTTTTTTAAGGTTTTATAAACCCTTCTCACACTAATGTTCTAAACTCATAAACCTGCATCATTTTAACAACATACGTATATGTACTGTACAGTACTGCAAATTTTTACTCACCAGCTCTGCAGAACAGCAGCTCAGTTCTGGTCGATTCCAGTTTTGCAGACCTACCCTGCAGCGACGAAGTCCACCGCCCCGTCCAGGTTGATGTGCGTGTGGATAATTGAGCTTCAGGAAGTTTCAGGATTGTTTACGACTTTCCTGCCACTTCTGTGAGCTTCATAGATTAATAGATATTGTAGTTTTGCATTGCAAAACTTACCCTCCATTTTGGCAGAAAGCAGCGACCGGCAGCACTGTTGGCTTCTGGGTAGTGTAGTTTGACTGGCGTTACAGTGTAGGCTTATTGAAAGAAAACTACAAAATGGCGGTGCCTGTCCCGAAGTATTTTTTTATAAACTTTTTATTCCGTACTGTCCTAATCACATGAGTAATATTAAAGTTGACTGTTGTTGGATAAATCGCGACAGAGCAAGTCCACGAAAGTTGAACCGCGAAGTAGCGAGGGACCACAGTACCTGTAAAATCTTTTGACTTTACTTTCTTGTAGCTGCCATGTCAGAGCAGCTGGTTGAGAACAAACTGTGGTGGTTTATCTATTTTGGTGATTTGTCCATGAAGTACTCGCAACCTTTTTGCACTCAGTGGTTCATACCATCCTACAGACATGTTAAAACAATATAAACAAAAGGTGGAAAGCTGTTATTAGTTTTAGTTGTGTAGAAGGAAATCAGTTGCCAACTTCATCAGTTCTTTATTTGTAGTCAACTTTACTTTAAAACTATTTACAGTAAAATGCACAAATGTGAAGTTAAAAGAAAAGAAATGTGAATTCTATCCCTAATCATGATCCCTGCATTTGTTCAGGATTTGCTGCTGTGTGGACCGGTTTGGAAGTAGCAGCTAAAGACATCACCAAAAATGTTGCAGGAGAAACAGTCACCACCATCAAACACAAGTAAGTCTTATTTTTGTTAAGGTAATGTTTTTCCTTTTTCTTTCCCGGCTTGCTAGATGTGGACGTGTGCATTTCGGTTGATCTCTAGCACAATTTGATCAACGTTAACCATGCACTCACTTGTATTCCCCTTTGTTTTACAGATTTAGGGGTCTACAAAACATCCTTGACAAACCTAATGAGAAGGAGTGTAATTCTTCTTAGCAGCTGTTATTCTCACTGCACTACTAATTACAGATACACTATATTTCCCCTTTTTTTTTTTTTTTTTGTAATGTTTCACCAGTTCACTTCCCATCCACTTTCACTAATTCACTTTTGCTGCTTTCACCGATTTCTTAATATATTTCTAAGGAGAACGTCACAGTTACTCAGATCACTGTCCTGCCTGACCTGAACATCCTCTCATACTCTGAGTTGATGATGCATGACCTGATGACTGACCAATATACACAATAAAAATCTTTTTCTAAGGATTTATCAATTATAAATGCATCTAGTGTGGTATAATAAAATTGCTTTACCATTCTATTTTTATTATCTCTGGTTGTATTTGTTTATGTGGAAACTGATTTAGCATTCTTTAAAAAAAGTTTAATTTTGACTTCTCTTTTTAGCAACCTTTAATTCTAAAAGTAATTACTGAAGACCCTAAAATCTGATTTTGGTAGATAGGCCTTTCAGATTGGGCACATGCATGGGTGTGATCCTCACAAATCTCTGCATGACATCGTTGAACACATACATTTTATCGCCTGTTGCTCTGACCTTAATAATCTCTGATCCTGACTCTGAAGGTACGGGGCGGCAGTAGGACAAGCTACGGACCACGCTGTCAATTCTGCCATTAATGTTGGTATCACTGCCTTCAATATTGACAACCTGGGGATCAAAGCTGCTGTGAAAAAGACTGGGAAGCACACGGCACAGGCCATTTTGGAAGATTACCACCTTCAGGAAAAACCAGAAACTGAGAAGCAAGTGGAGAAATTGGACAAATAGCTGTTGTCCTGCCTTACTTCAACAACGCCTTAAAACTTTATATTCACTAATCTCAGAGTTCTATATTTAATATCTTTATTTATGAGGACCTGTTCTACAAAGTGACTACTGTGATTATGTATATCCTGCAGTTTGATATAGCTCTGAAGCACTTTAATTTTTCTGTAATCTATAAAGCAGAGGATTTTAGATGTGGGACAGGAAATAAAACTAGTAAACTAAGCAGGCGTCTGTTTTAACAAAACGGTTTTTGAAGAGATTTTTAAAACCTTTATAGAATGTTTGATTTTCCTAACTATTTTTGATTTAAATGAAGCATTAAAGTGTGTTTTACTAATGTTATGCCTTTTTTTCCTTATATAGATTTTATCATTACGAGTTCTGTCACTGCTAATCGTAACAATAAATAAAAATAAACATTTGGGACAAATTCGTCATGTAGAAGTTACTCATTTATGTATATTTGTGAGCTATTCAGTATGCAGCATTCTTGTCAGAATATTTTAAATCAAGTGATATGTTTTCTCATAAATTTCTTGCATTGTTTAACTCCTACCTGCCATGCTGGTTTCTGTGGTGCAAGTCTGGAGGAAACAGTTTTTCATGTTACCTAAATATTGTATTCAATAGTTTTTTCTTGCGAGATGCTAACAAAAACAATAAATTTAAAAACTGTTTCAAGTGTGGTTGAAATTTTGTGGAAGTAAAATGTTTAAACATGGATTTGAAGTCCAACATGAAGCTGTGAGCAGGTTTCTAAAATGTTCAGTTCAGACCATAAACACGGAACACCGAAAGGTCCAGACCCACGAGCTCCTGTACTTAAAATACTTCAAACATAGTGTACTCCATTTTTATGTGTGTGTGGAGTGGGGGGGACTAAATCAAAGCTCTGAGTTCACATTTATCATGCCATTTTCTAACAAAAAGCTGTGAACAAAACTAATGATGTATTTTTCTAACATGTTGCCAAGAGGCTGGACATCAGAAACGTGCAGAATGATCAAAGTGTTGATTTTAACTTTTAATTTGCGGAGTTTAAAAAAAAATAAATATCATGGAACTTAGTTTCTTGGCGTTTAATTAAAAAAGCAGACGTGCAACATAAAATAGGAATCAAAACAGTTTAGGTAGTACAAAGAAAATAAATTGTCCTGAAACTGGACGTCCTGTTTAGTTACTTACAGGGTTGTACTTTGTCAACAAACTCAAATCATTTTTTTTTTTGCAACGTTACAAAATTTTAAGTAAAAAAAAAGAAAACATCCAGTCGTTTTCTGAGGGTCAACTTATATGTTTAACTGCTGTAAATAGATAGAGGTTAATTGTAAAACACGTCACACAGTGCAGAATTTGTATTTTACTGGGTAGATACTGATAGAAGCTTATAAGATGTTTGTCCTACTGTAGGACATTAAACAGTAGTTCTTCAATGATCTTCCACAATTTAGATATATAAAAGTAGTTGGAACAAAAAAAGGGAAAATTTATTAAGCAAGACAGCTTCCAAAAATATATCTTATTTCAGTTTCAAAAATTGTAATGAGATTTGAAGTAATCATTTCATACTCCACTTTACAAGAACTTCAGAATAAAGGCTAACATAAATATTTCCTTTTTTACTTGTATAGTTACCCATATGTATTGAATGCTATGCAGCTGTAAGTAACCCTGCACACACACACACAAAAAAAACCAGCTTTATCTCCAAACATTTCCTATAAAACATCTTACAGACAACATTAAGAGCTTAACCAAATAAATTTAACAAAGTTTCTTAAAGTAGTCCATTTAAAACTGATTGATTTAGCAGAGTGATCATTTGTAAAGCTATACAGTTAGAAAGAGCCAGTTTCTAGCGAAAAAACAGATTCTAGATCAGCATCAGGAAAGCTCAAGTTGTTACTGGCATCCAAAAATAAATCCAGCCATAATGGACTGACTTTATCACACTGACCGTCATTCCCCAAGAAATGAGAATTAGACAAAACTTCTGGCACTGGATTAGTTTCATTTCCACTCATCAGGTCACCAGAACCTGAAGTTGCACTTTGAGGTTGAGACAGAGGGATGACTTGTTGGTTTGGAAATACTTCTGTTGTACTGTCAGTCAGGCCGATACGAGGCGAATCGCTCCGTTTTACCAACGAGTCAAAACATCTGAAAGCACTCTTTGGTTCTGGAGGTCTGTGGGCTTTGTCAAAATTAAATGGTTGAAAAGCAACAGGATCCACTTGGCCCGAAGTGACTTCCAGAGACATTTGGATTGAGAGCGGGTCTGGTCCCACCTGTGGGAAAGTGTGACTGATAGTTAGTGGTGTAAAGCCATGTGAAGAGAAATTGGTAAATGCAGAAGTTTACCCAGTTGTTTTCCACAAACTGAAATTGATCCTGGCGCACTGGTAGCTTTTGTCCTCGTGGAACAGCTGATTCATCCAACAGTATTGGCTGGGCATGCACTGTGGTCAGGCTGTCAGCTTTGCCAAGCGTCTGATCCATCGTCAAAGGGCGATCCACTGCAGAAAAACAATGGATTTACACGCTTGATTCACTGCTACGCACAGAGGCATAATATGAAATGGTATATAATTTCACACAGCAAAAACAGAAGGAAAAAAAATGGGTGAAACAATACTTTAACTTCTAATCATCTATTGATGCTCTCTACAAGAACACCCACTTTCCATATACATTTTAGAAGAGGCTTTCCCTTTAAAAGCTACAGTTAACAGAATTGTTTTTTTTTTCCAAGCTTTGCATTGTTCAACAAACTTCTCACATTTCTTTTCTGTAAAATTACACTGTTTGAAAACTTTAAATAGCTTGATGAATTTGTTTTCAGCCTCAGTTATTGTTGCCATCAGGATATAATAAACCCACTTTAGATCATCACTTTTTGTTTTGAGTGATGTGGAGAAGACAAATAAGAGCAAACAAGTCAGGTGATGACTGAAATGACTTGCTCTCAGGTTGTAAAAAGGCATTAAATATAATTCTGTTTTATGTATATACTGTAGTCCATCTTTGTGTTTTCTTGCTTTAAAGTGACATTTTCTGACAATAGTTATTCTGCAGATGAAGCAATAAAAACCACAATGAATTAAAACATAAAAAAATCCAAACAATAAGCTACTATTTGTATTTTTCCAAATCTGACAAATTTCCCACTTTGTTTATAATGTTTTAAAAAGTAAAGCCTCTTTTAGAGCCAAAAATAACTTGTTCAGTTATTCAGCAGGCAGGTCAAGTAGGTTGGACAAAGGCCTAATAATAATGTAACTGTCCCTAATAACCTGTATTTGTTAAAAAAGAACAAAAGTACAGAATTACCCAGGAGGTGCAGCTGCTCAGGGCTGAGTGGCACCTGTCAGTTTGGAGCTCACGTGCTCTTCAACCGAACCACTTAATGACGCACATCACACACACCTGCGCGAGCTGACCCCAAACTGGATACAGGAGGTAAAAAATATGATTGCTTTGTTTGCAAATGATAAAAACTACAAAGCTACAACACATCTGTGTATGCGTTAAACGAAATGACATAAATATTATAGCAAATATAAACAGCTGCGGCACTTCTTTTTGTACAATATATACACTTTTAATCAGGCTAGCTGCTTTTTGTTCCTGTTTTTGCTAGCTTACAGCCTGGTTGCCATGGAGATTTTAGCCCTAGCTAGCTGAGTATAGCTTAAGGGTGATAAGGCCCGTTCTTTTCAAGCAGTAGGAGTAATTTGGGATTTGTAATATTTGGTTTTCTAAAGTAAAAGGTTACTTAATGTTTACGTGACCGCGCATCACGCTGAGGAGGCGCGGTTGCCCGTGCGCGCGCGCTCCCAACACCGCTGTGCACGAGGCAGGCTGACACCTGCTAAATCACTGCATTGGAGCAGGAGTAAAAGGGAGGGTGGAGGACACCGGCTGCCCTGCCTCCAATCCGCATGTGAGCAGACAGCAGGAAGGCAGAGCTCCATCACAGGGCAACAAAGGGACGCATGCTTCATTCGAAACCTCCAATTTATAAGACAATTTAAAACACTCCATTTCTGATTTGCATCTGTCCTCACCTCAAACTAAGGTAGGATATTGCAATGAGCTTACAAAATCTTAACATTTACCATTCTCTATTTATGTTTTAAGGTTTAGCTTGCAGCAATCTGCCTGATCAAAATATGCTGGTAATTAATATAATTCCATAGAAAAGGTTATTTTTTTAATTTTTTTTATTTTGCTAGATTGAATATAGAGACTAGAGAGCATAAAATGGGTGTGACATGTTCATTATGTGTGCAAAAGCATCAAAGCTAGAATCATTCAGGTGTAAAAGCAGTCAGGCCGGCACAACACAATTGATTGATCTACTGTGGCTATCGTAAGAATTCAGATTAAGGATGTTATCAATAGTGTAAGATGGTTTTCTCTTTATTTTAGACGGCAAGCAATAATAAACGGCTATGGAACTGGAGCATTTTGATGAGCGGGACAAGGCTCTCAGATATACCCGAAGAGGCTCAAGAGGTAATGGGCTCCCCAGTCCCACTCATAGTGCTCATTGCAGCCTGTACAGAACCAGGACACTTCAAGCTCTGAGCTCAGAAAAGAAGGCCAAGAAGATTCGTTTCTACCGCAACGGTGACCGATACTTCAAAGGTATTGTGTATGCCATTTCTCAGGAGAGATTTGGGTCTCTAGATGCCCTCCTTGCAGACCTCACAAGATGTCTGTCTGATAATGTCAACTTGCCCCAAGGGGTCAGAACTATATATAGCATTGATGGGACAACCAGGATCACCACCATGGACCAACTAGTAGAAGGTGAGCTGTGTTTCTTGGCTGTGAATGTATTTGAAATTAAAATTGCAGTAAATTAGAAAGATCAGATCTGCCCCTATAACAGCTATAAAAAAAAAATCAGAACATGTATGCTGTTCTCAATCACGAAGAGAAAAAAGTAACTCACTTTTTTAAATTGTTTTAATTCATGTCTTTTTTTTTTTTTACTGTATTTGCAAGCTGATCTAAAATCTGTTGGGGTATTTTAATTTTCTGCAGGTGAGAGCTATGTCTGTGCATCCATAGAGCCTTACAAGAAGCTAGACTACACAAAGAATGTAAATCCGAACTGGTCAGTAGGTGCCAGGACTTCTGCATCTGTTCGTGATCCTTCATCCCTTGGTAGTGCCAAAGCTGTGTGTCTGGAAACCTGGGAGAGCAAAGACTTTATAAAACCTAAACTGGTAACAATTGTCCGCAGTGGAGTAAAACCTCGCAAAGCTGTACGTGTTTTGCTCAACAAGAAGACCGCACATTCCTTCGAGCAGGTCATGACTGACATCACAGATGCAATTAAATTAGATTCTGGAGCCGTCAAAAGGATATATACTGTTGACGGAAAAATGGTAAGTCCCTGCACCCTTAAAACTTAAATATATCTTCAACAAAAAAGGTTGAATCATGTCATCTGGACTTCGTTTTTTTGTTAAAAAGAAACGTTTCGCCCCTCATCCAAGAGGCTTCGTCAGTCTGAGGCCTAGCCATCTGGTATTACCCAGAAGCCACCCTGACTCTTGTGTTTCAAGCCTGCCTCAGATACCCCTGAAATCTGGCCTTTTCACTAATGGTTTCAAAAACTGACGAAGCCTCTTGGATGAGGGGCGAAACGTTTCTTTTTAACAAAAAAACGAAGTCCAGATGACATGATTCAACCTTTTTTGTTGTTATATACCTGGATGACTGAGAAAACAAACTTTGTGTTTTTAAATGTATCTTGTTCAGAGGTGAGAGTACATTAACTTGTTACATTAGCTTAAGTTGTTCAGTGTCATCACCCTTTTTAATTTGATTTATTAAATTGTGTATCTCTTACACAATGTGAAATGAACTTAACTGAAAATTCACTTTAACAAACATTATAATGTATTGTATATTAGTAAGGCCTTCTATAACAAGTCAGTTTTATTGGTTAATTTCCCCCAAAGAAACTGTAACAACTAACAGGGCTTAGAATTTTACAAAGTGCATTGCCCATGTGCAGTTGTCTGAACCATTAAAACATTAATTGTTCATAGGGAGAACCTTTGCCTACTACTTAGCTGTACAGTGTACTCTAACAAACATAATGTATAGAACATGGATACTGACAATAACAAAGATGGCTTCCTTTTTTGAGTATCATATCCCATATCAGAGGCTTAATCCAGTACATTGAAGCATTGTTCTGTCCTTTAGTCATGTCTCTGGAAATTGCTCCTTTACCCAAGTTGATAAGCAGCCCAGTGTTAGTCAACTGGGAATATTTCCTAAATGTATTACAAGAATTGGGTTTCTAGGACTTCATCTCATATTTCTACCAACAGTAGAAGACTATTAAATAGGATAAGAGGTTTAGAGATTTTCCATGTAAGAACAAGCCTTGTGTATTTTTATTTCCAATCTATACTGAACAAAAATATAAACACTTTTGCATTTGCTCCCATTTTTCATGAGCTGAACTCAAAGATCTAAGACTTATTCAATGTACACAATAGGCCTTTTTTCTCTCAAATATTCACAAATTTGTGTGTCTCTCTGGCTTGGCCTTGTCTCCGAAGATCATGAAGGGTGTCCATGACTGCAGGCCCTCTGGTGGCTGATGAGACCGATCCTGGAGTGGCAGCCTCAGCCACAGCAGCTGCAAGTGAATGGGTGCTCTGTTCTTCCTCTTGTTTTGCTTGACCTCCAGGCTGGCACATCTGTCTGTCTCAAACACAGCCCACAGCTTCGTGGATGGTTTACCGCCAGAAGTCATGGTCAGCGGTGAGCGTGGACCAGTTTTGGGGGTCAATATGGCTCACGTTCAGGGAGGCTTTGATGAGGTCTTTGTAGCATTTCTGCGGTGCCCCTCTCTTGCGCCACCCAGAGGATGGCTCGCCATACAACACAATCTTTGGTAAGTGGTGGTCCTCCATACTGGACAAGTGCCCTGCTCAACGTAGGTGAGCCTTGAGCAGCATTGCCTTGATGCTGGTGATTTCTGCCTGCTGGAGGACCTCCATGTTTATTACAAAGTCACTCCAGTAGATGTGGAGGATGGAGCGGAGACGGCATTGGTGGAAGCGCTCAAAAGAGCTGTATGTGGCGGCGGTAGGTGACCCATGATTTGGAGCCGTACAGGAGGGTAGTCACTACAGTGGCTCTGTCTGTACACACTGATCTTGGTCCTCGTCTTCAGGTCTTTGTTTGACCACACTCTCTTGCGGAGTCTGCCAAAGGCGCTGCTCGATTTCACCAATCTGCTGTCGATTTCTTTGTTGATTTTAGGGTCTGAGGAGATGATGCACCCAAGATAGGTGAACTGCTAGACAGCTTTCAGCTCCATCTCGTTGCTGTTGATGTGAGGGGGATGGCACTGCTCACCAGGTGCTGGTTGGTGTAGCACATCTTCTTCAGACTGACCTCCAGGCCAAGGTGCTGGGCAGCGTCAGCAAAGCTGGACACAATGCAGTACAATACAGTACATCTGTGTTAATGAGCACCTCTCCTTTGCCAAAATTATCCATCCACCTCACAGGTGTGGCATAGGATGCTGATTAGACAGCATGATTCTTGCACAGGTGTGCCTTAGGCTGACCACATTAAAAAGCCACTCTGATGTGCAGTTTTATTACACAGCACAATGGCACAAATGTTGCAGGTTTTGAGGGAGCATGCAATTGGCATGATGACTGCAGGAATATCTATATTTAGAGAATTTGGCAGTACATCCAACCGGTCTCACAATCGCAGACCATGTATAACCACACCCTGTGTTAAAAGTACAGTTGTTTTAGTTCTTTGTTTGAAATGAACATTTCTACAGAGTTTGATCTTCTACAAATCCAGGACATGTCTCCATAACTGATTGTTTTCCCAGATGAATCTCCATGAAGAAGATGCAAATTTAGATTGTTTCCTTATGGTGAGCTGAACAACAGCTAATGCCTGATAAATATTTGGGTTATGGCATGGGCAGGCGCATGTTTGCACAGAGATACAGTGACGAGATCCTGAGGTCCATTGTAATGCTATTCGTCCACTAAAATTCTCATGTTGCAGTATGCCAATTGCATTCTACCTTTAAACTTGCAACATCTGTGGCATTATGCTGTGTGATAAAACTGCACATTTTAGAGTGGCCTTTTATTGTGGCCAGTCCTAAGGCACACCTGTGCAATAACCATGCTGGTGTGCATCTTGATGTGCTTGAAAATTCATCCACCTGTGAGTTGGATGGATTATCTCAGCAAAGGAGAAGTGCTCACAAACGTGGATTTACACAAATTTGTGAACAATATTGGATAGAAAGGCCTATTGCATACATAGAAAAAGTCTTAGATCTTTGAGTTCAGCTCATGAAAAATAGGAGCAAAAACAAGTGTTGTTTATAATTTTGTTCTGTATGCAGTGAATAGCACTTTCTACACTGGTAATTTTCTTTGCAACAATAATTATAAACAAGGCAGTTACACTATTCATGCTATGTCTGGAATTTAGGAACCATGGGAAACGGGACTTTTTAATATGCTGATTTAGATTAACTGCCGGTATGTATCATCTGCATAATAACTGACTAAGCATCCTATAAAAATAGGTATTTGAAATGTTCAAACTATTCTGTGTGCTCTCGTTTTGGCTGTGACAGTTTCTATGGTGAATGGTTTTTGAAGATGGTTGCTAGGGGACATTTGCTGCTGCAGAATAGTGAACAAGTGATGTATGAAGACTGTAGGTGTTTTGTAAGGGGTTTCACAGATTCATTCCTTGGTTGGCTATCTTGTACACCTGGCAGTGAAGGAGCACATGACCTGAGTATATTCCCATGATAGGAGCCACCTTTTCAATATTACAAAATGAGCTATGGTGTACATCAGAACATTTTAGTTTAATTTCTTCTATATAATAGTCATTTTGTGTGCCTGAAAATACATTTCTATTTCTTAACCCCCCTTGAACTATATTCAGAATATTGTCATGTTGTGCCTCCAGATGGTCAAATGAGCCCTCACAGGGATCAAAGGGCTATTTTTTTATGGGCGTTTCATCTTTACAAAACCAACTGCTTGTGCTTTTAATGCAGAATGTGACCGTGATTGAGCCCTTGTTTTTTGCTTATGCCTCAGATGTCACGCATGCACATCAAGTAGCTTAATCATTTTTGTAAATGCATATATATATATATATATATATTTTTTTTTTGTCTCAGACTATTGAGACCTATTATTGAGTCCAGTACTGATTACAATATTCCTGGCGCCTTTAAATCAGAAAAGTCACCATGATGTTCACAACTAATATGTTAAGTGGCACTTTTAAAGTTGAGTTCAGTAACTTTTTGTCTTGGTCTTTGTGATTGGGTTTTTTGTTTTGTTTTATGTTTGACAGTGAAACATGCTTTTAAAATAGGTGCTTGGAACAACTTAAAAAAAAAAAAAGCTTTTGCATGTGTAAAGCTGTAAAATAAAATAGTTTTTATGCAGTTTACATTGTTCAGAGCCACACATAGGATCTGACAGGTGATCTATATGGTTTCATATCCTCTCATTGTTTGTATCTGAGCGGTTTGTCTGACTCATCTCCTTGGCAATTATTGTGCAGATCCATCCTGTAGGGTTCAAGCAACCCACACCCCACCAGCACCACCACTTTATGTACATTTTGATAGGGTGGTAAAAAAAATATTGATGCCGCAAGAAGAAAATCTGACATTAAACAGCTATATTTAACCCACTTCCTGTATATTTGAGGTTTTGTTGGCAAAATGACCTGATATGTTTCTTGGAATATCTTGCAAAAATATCTGAAGCTCTCGATCTTGACCTCTCTAAGTGGCTTTAATAATCTGTTGAATTCCTGGCAAGGCCCAATGCAGACATGTTCCTGTTTTTAGTTTTCTACATTCGCCTTATAATCTAGCCGTTTTGCTATTTTTGCCATCTTTTTTTTTATTTGTTAAAAAAAAAAAAATGGTATGCCTCTTTTTTTTGTCTTTTTGTCGCTGTTGTCCATTGTTGTCATCATTCTTTGTGGAAATCAGGTCTGTCTTGTAAATGAGTCCTCAAGGCTCAATGGGATTAACCTGTCTAAATAAAGGTTGAATGAATGTAGTCATCATGCATGTTCAGTAATCCAGGTAGATAAATCTAACAAGGTTGAGTCGGGTCTTTTGTCTTTTCGACAAAATATTTCAACAAAGAAGAGTCGATCCAGGACTTGACTCAACCTTGTTAAGTTTTTGGTATAGGATTTGCTAAAGGTTGCTAATAAATACATTTTTTGCATTTTTGCATGAGCATGTTTGTTTAGCAAACTGAACATTTACAACTTAGCTCGATTTTTTTTTTTTTCTCAATTAAATTCAAAATCTAAGGTTCCAGCTTGTTACATGAATGTTAGTACATCATATTATTTTTTTTACATAATGGTTCATATAGTTTGCTTGCAGTATAATATGTCTGTCTCAGAGCATGCTTTTTAGCTAGTGTTATCTGATAAAACAAATTTTTGAGCATCATTGATGTGAAATTGAATGTTAAATGTTTTTGCTTTATTTTCTATGAAATCTGAAGCTGATTGGGCTGTGGTAGCTTGGTGGTCAGTGCCATAGTCTTGTAATCCTGAGGTTGCAGGTGCAAGCCCAGGTTGTGTCAGGAAGGGCATCTGGTATAAAACAAATGACCAAATCTTTCATGCAAGTTTGCTTGCTGTGGTGACCCCTGAAGAAGGGAGTAGCTGATAAAACTTACTTTTTATCATAATCTGATTGTTGTACATAACACTGCTGACTCACTTGAAACACAATCTTCAAAAACAATCACAGCTTTAAAATAATCAGTGATGTTGTACAACAAAAAAATCTAAGTAATGAACCAGACCAGGAAACTTTTATAGGTTTGCATTATTGTTCACCCCTGTGTAAAGGAAATAAAAGCAGCAGTTGTATGTTCTGACATCCAGCTGCATTAAAGCACCCCAATAACTTTAGAGTGATCATCACAGTTTATCATCAAAGCATAGGTGTCCTTCTGTATTCAATGCTTCTTTATGTGCAAAAGTAAAAATCAAAACGTATATTGAATATGCAATGACGATCTCATTTGAATATTGGTCATATTTTTTCTGTATAAATTGTAAATGCTTTCGTATTAGGAACATTATTTGTACATGCATGATTAGACTTTAAAATGGATCGCTAATTTTTACATTTCAAAATGTGTCCTTTTTGTCAGATTTTTTATTTTTTTTTAACTGTCTACATCTTGATTGTACTGTACTTGTTTTTATAGCTGATGAAAATATTTTCTTTGCTAGGTCACAAGCCTTCAGGACTTTTTTGGGGAAGATGACATATTCTTTGCTTGTGGTCCTGAAAAGTTTCGCTATCAAGATGACTTCAGTTTGGATGAAAGTGGTAAGTACATTAAACTTTGACATTGTGACCTTGGGATCCACACTCAGGTTGATCCTAAGGTTTAATGTTTAGTGTTATTTTATGCTGCTGCTACCTTTCTTTTACATCAGATTTTTGTATGTGAAGGTCATATTTATTAATGATACAGAATGACACTAATCAACTTTTTCAAACCTTATCGTGTATATAATCGGTTTCATTGGATTTGTTTGAAAGGATGCCATAGTGAAATTGTCTAAACGCAGTACATTGGTGCCTTTGTTTTGTGTAGTAAGGACTTGCATGTTTAGACTGCAGTTGGTGTAAATTTGCTGCACACTGAACGATAGACGTTACTTGCACTGATCCATTCTAGTTTTATATTTGATATGAGCTGTGTAAGCTTGCAGGCTAGGATGTTATGAGTTTTTGCCCAGTTTTCTAAGCTGAAACCAACACTAAGCTTCAAACGGTCATTTTTAGAACAGACATTCCATCATTTTGTTAATGCAGCAATACACCTTGATTTATGATTGTTGTTTTTTACAAGCTTGCAGGGTGGCAAAATCTCCATCATATGGTCGGCTCCCCTCAATTCATGGTCGTTCTTCTCCTAGATGTGGCGGGATGTCCCGGCGAAGCAAATCTCCCTCATCCCCTGGATCAAGTGTGTTCCTATCTCGTAAAAATCCAATATACATTTTGTTGTTCTGTTTCTGATTTGTCTCTTCTTTCTTTGCCAACAGCTAATGGCACTGCAGGCAGTCAGCTATCCACACCTCATTCTGGAAAGTCGCCAAGCCCCTCTGCGACCAGTCCAGTTAGCCATAGAAGACGACAGGTAATAAAATTAACATTTCTTTAAGTAAACTAAACAGTTGTTTGATAGTGTTAATAATCTAATACTGCATCAATAAAGCTTGTAACAGCTTCAGCATCAAACAATTTAAAAGTGTTATAGAGGACAGAATAAAACATCCATCCATCCATTATCTTTTACCCGCTTCTTCCATTTTGGGTCACGGGGGTCGCCGGCGCCCATGTCCAGCAATCACTGTGCGAGGGACAGGATACACCCTGGACAGGTCGCAAGTCCATCACAGGGCCACATGGAGACAGAACAACCATTCACTTTCTCACTCTCACCTAGGGACAATTTAGAGTTACCAATCAGCCTAACATGCATGTTTTTAGTCTGTGGGAGGAAACCGGAGTACCCGGAGAAAACCCACGTACGCACGGAGAGAACATGCAAACTCCACCCAGAAAGGCTCCAGGATTTGAACCGGGGACCTGCTCGCTGAGAGGCAGCAGCTCTACCAGTTGTGCCACCATGCTGCCCCAGAATAAAACAAGCATTTAAAATAAAATTTTAATTTAATTAAATTTTTACTAATTCACTCCTTCAGATTATTTCCATGCAAATGAATTTTAAGTCTACGCAGACATTTGACTTTTTGACAGAATGTCACTCAAAAGAAACTGCTATAGAAATGCAAGAAGACTGTGTATTTTGATTTGTGTACAACCTAAAAATGATCAAACATTTGCTATACTGCATTTAAGTTTTAGATTATTATTATTATTATTATTTTATTTAAAGGTTTTGCTGCAGCTGATTGTGTTCTTGAGACTCCACTGCACATCAACTGGGCTTAGTTTAAACTGTCTGTGATGACAGTTTTACCTCCTTTTGGATTCTGTTATACACCTCTTATTTGTACCTAATTGCTGGATTTTTTTTTTCTCCCAGGGTTCTCATCACAGTGGCTCTTCACTCTCATTAGCTTCTTCTAAAGTATGCAGCTCAATGGATGAAGGGGATGGGCCTAACGGTGAAGGTAAGACAGATTTTAAGTAGAAAAATGGGCAAGCAAGACAATAAATTATGCCTTTCCTAATGCATTTCTCTTTAATTTGCTTCAAAGCTGAGCATTTGGATGAGTGTAACGTAGTTCCTGTTGCCATAGTGGACAGGTACAAAGTTGGAAGGATTTTAGGTGACGGGAACTTTGCTGTAGTCCGAGAATGTGTGGAAAGATCTACTGGAAGAGAGTATGCTCTCAAAATCATCAGCAAAGATAAATGCAAGGGAAAGGTGATTATCCCTGTACATTTGCTGAAATGAGGTATGGAGGTATCACAGAATTTGTGGCAAGTCATTGTTGTTTTGGAGTTAACATTTGTCTTTGTATGTTTTGTATAACACAGTACAAAATGTCTGTTTCTAAAATGTGTCATTCATATACACTGTAATGATGGCAAAAAAAGCTGTGTAGCCTTAAATCTTACTGATTTCTATGCATTAATCTCTAAAATGTTCTGTATCATTCAGGAGCACATGATACAAAGTGAAGTATCCATCCTTCGACGTGTGAAACATCCAAACATTGTACTTTTAATTGAGGAAGTGGACACCCTCAGTGAGCTTTATCTTGTAATGGAGCTGGTTAAGGTACCTTGCATGATGTTTCATGCAAAAATACATTCTGTATTATTAAACACTTTTTAGTGGGTTTACAAAGTTGCTTTTATAACTACTCTTTCCGAATTTTGAATTTGAATTAATCTCATTCTAAATTATTACTGTTTGCAATCATTATTAAAGGAAAGTTTTAATTTACCCTTTTCTCCAGGGCGGCGATCTCTTTGATGCCATTACGTCTTCCAACAAATATACAGAGCGTGATGCCAGCTGTATGCTGTTCAACCTGGCCAGTGCCATCAAGTACCTTCACAGTCTCAGCATTGTTCATAGAGACATTAAACCAGAAAATCTGTTGGTATGTATGACCTTGCAAACTCCTCTAATGGCTTTTTGTAGGGATGCACGATATTAAATATTTGGCCGATATGCCAATATGTTAACTTATTTGGCCGATAACTGATGCCGATACCGATATTTTGTTCCTTTGTCAGAACATAGCCCTTTTATTTAGGCTTATTTGCTACAACAATTATATAACTATACATGGTTGTTAAGCAGGAGGAGTAAGTGTGAACAAAAGAAACATTTACATTATCATAAAATACTAATGTATTGGTTGTGTTCAGAGTTCTTGCTTGAGATGCAAATGAAAATGCTTCAAAAATGTCCCTAAATTAGTTTAAACTTTTTTTTATTCTTAATCTGGTTTATATAGTTGGAAGACTGAAATCTATTTGATGTGTATTTTTATATGCATCACTTTATAGTATATAGAGTCTAATTATATACATTAAAAACTAACATTGGTCAAAGTGCTTTACAGTAGTCCTTCATTTATCGCAGGGTTTATGGGACCATGCACCCAACAATAAGTGAAAAATCGCCAAGTAGGGATACAGCAGTCCAAGTTCAAGTTTCACTCCCAATCTCTCTCCTTCTGTGTAAATAAATAAACAATTTAAATTTAAATACTGTAATATTTTAAATAAACTGTCCATGCAGCATTAAATTGTAGAGGAGAAGCACAGCAGGACAGCAAAGGGTTAACCCTCCACTCGGCAGCACCACAGCAGAAATGTACTTCTTGATCAATTACACTGTAACAACGGAACATAGAAGATCTAAAATAATTAAAAATTACTTTAAATACTTATATATTTTGTTATGACAATTTTACGATGCGACATACTTAGACTTTAGTCTTCCAACTTAAAATTCAATCTGGAATCTTTTCAATACAATCTCATCCATCAGCCAATTGTGTGTCATGTCCAATCTTACTATGAAAAACCGTGAAAGTGCGAGTCTACTAAAGTCGAATTGCGAAGAAGCAAGGGACTACTGTACATAAAAGAAAATATGAATTATTGTGTAATGTAGCTGACAGAGTGAGAATATCACATCTAAATGTACTAAGATTAGAGAAGCCACTATATCCAAATTATGTAGTCACTGTAGACCGATAATTTATTGAAAATATTGTGATGTCTGTAGAAATTGAATGTATATTGTCTTTTTTTTTTTTCTTGACAAATGAGTTTCACTCAAGATTAACCTAGCGGTAAACTTATTAGTGATACAATTAAAGCAAAGATGAAATGTTACCGTAATTGTATTTTTGGCATACAGTATCTTTTTTTTTTTTTTTCACTTAATATCAAAAACATAGTAACAGTTGTTTATATTAGTGTATTGTCATAAATAAGAATTTAAATAAGTAAATGGCAAAAAATTCTCGCACAATAACTGCTGGATATGGGCACCTAGTGACCCCCGCGACCCAAAAAGGAAGAAGCGGGTAAAGACGATGGATGAATGGATGGTCTGGAAAAGCTTTTAATATGTATATTTTTAAAACATTTGTGTAGATACAAAAATTTTAAAGCAGCAGTCTTTTAAGACCCGTTACTTTCTTTTACCTTAAAATTTGTCTCGTTCTCTGCACTTTCTTCACCCCACAGGTGTACAATCATGTTGATGGTAGTAAATCTTTGAAGTTGGGCGATTTTGGCTTGGCTACGGTTGTTAATGGTCCTCTCTATGCTGTCTGTGGAACACCCACCTATGTGGCACCAGAGATTATTGCTGAAACAGGGTAAGGTTCAATGGGAATATGGGGGAGAAACAAAATCACTATCTGATTTTTAAAAAAGCATGTAGAGGGATGTTCTATTTAGAGAAGCTTTTAGATTTTTAAATCGGTCTTTTGTTTCTTGAAGATATGGCCTCAAAGTGGACATTTGGGCAGCTGGTGTCATCACGTACATTCTACTTTGTGGCTTTCCTCCCTTCCGTGGGTATGTTATTTTGTATTGGCAGTTTACATTATAAAATGTATTTTACTTTTTTTATTTTTATTTTTATTTTTTTACCTGAATTGGAACTTAATTACATCATTAACTAGTTGTTTATTCTATCACTCTGTAGACTATTGCTGTACAGTAACTCTTTTTGAAGTTAATGTTTTCTTTTTTTCAGTACTGGAGAAGACCAGGAGGACCTTTTCAAACAAATTTTGAAGGGCCAGCTCGATTTTCCAGCACCATACTGGGACAGTGTCTCTGACGCTGCCAAGGTTGTGTGCTCCCATCTACCATCATTATTCTTCACATTAATCACCACAGTTTAATCAGATTAGAGGCTGATATTTATATTATTTAGAACGGTTAATGAGTAACTCATCCATCTTTAGGCTCTGATCAGTGGGATGCTGCAGGTAGTGATAGATCAAAGATACACAGCTATACAAGTGCTTGATCACCACTGGGTCAATGTAAGTTCATCATATTACTTTAAATAATTAACCAGTTGATACAGATTATAAATAAAAAAACATGCAATGCATCGTATGGAGTTTCTAAAGTACTGTTTTAATTTTCCAGGGTGATGGCCTTTTGGAGAAAGAGCATCAACTTCCTGTTGCAGGAAAAATCAAGAAACATTTCAACTGTGGACCGAAGCTCAACAGCACTACAGCAGGAGTGTCAGTAATTACAGTAAGCACTGATCTGTACTCCACCAAACCGTGACACTGCATGCAATTCAGCTTTAATATGACACTTTTTTTTGTTGTTTTTAATGCTTTGTCATTCAAAAAAGAAAAGCTTTAAATTTCTACCATCTTAATTATGATGCTGCTGCTTGTATTCTGAGCAAAATGCTCTTTTGTACATTGGATGCTATTTTTAAACATTCATATTTGCTAGAGTTCTCTCCTTTTACAAACTTTTACTTTTTAAAACTTTTACAAAGAAAAAAATAATTGGCTTCTCTTTTTGGCAACTTCCCAGCATTCTTCTATTTGTGTTACACCATCATTTTTTATTTTTTTTCTACCCGTTTCACATCGGAGTCTTCCTGTTTGCTCTGGCCTGCCATCTAGACTGTCAGCACTGTTGTTTGGAGATCTTTCACTTCACTTGGTTACATATATTCATTAGGTGAAGTAGATGAAACCTTAACTCCATTGTTTCAGAGATGGCGAACTGCATATCGAGCATTGCTGACAAAGAATGGGAGTTGAAATGAATAGCATATCTCTGGATTTTAACTAATTTTATCACTTAAAAGCACTTGGCTGTCAATAGTCATATGGAAATATTTTACAGTATACAAAATGTCAGCTGATTGTTGCATGTCGTTATTCTACCAGTGTCATAGAAGTGCTCAAAAGTGTAAGTGTAGCACTTTACTGATAAGGTCATTATTGTTTGGAGTTCGTGATTCTCTGAGTTGCATTCATTTCCCTCTGCCCAGCTGGACCAAGACCTAACCTTCAAGAAGTCAGGGTCTTTGGACCAAAACCAGCATCCAGGATTAGACTGGATAAGGTATGACACAGCAAAGTGCTAAAGTGCAGTGAGTGCTTCCAATGCAAAGTGCTGGCAGTCTCCATTTCCCATCCCCCAAGGGTTTGACCCATCGTCCATCAGCTGAGGGTTTTTTTCTTTTTTCCCATTGTGCCTCATCAATTTATTACATTCTCACTAGTGCTACTGTACTTTTATCTTTGTTTTGTTGTGCAGTGTAAGTTGATAGTCACTTTGCAAAGTGTTTTCATAATGCAAGCTGCATTTGATAGTTCATATCACATACTGAGCATCAGACTTTCTTTTCTTTTGTAAGCCGTCTAAAACAGTGATTCACGACTCGCTAGTCGTGACCTAAATGTGGGTTGTGAACCCATTTTTAGTGGGTTGTAAGCATTTGCCAGGGCACGAGTTAAATAAAAATAACCCAGTGTTGTCAGTGAGAGAGAGGCCGGTGGAACAGTGAGGCTACAAGGAGCAGAGGTCACAAAGGTGCAGGACTTCAAGTACTTGGGGTCCACTGTCCAGGAAAACGGGGAGTGTGGTAAAGAGGGGGAAAAGAGTCCAGGCAGGATGGAGTGGATGGAGAAAAGTTTCAAGAATGATTTGCGCCAAAAGGGTGTCGACAAACGTCAAAGGAAAAGCTCACAAGATTGTTGTGAGACCAGCTGTATGGTCTGGAAACAGTGGCATTGACAAAAATACAGGAGAAAGAACTGGGAGTGGTGGAAATTAAGATGATGATGTTTTCCTTTAGGATTGACAGGGAAGGATAAGATTAGGAATGAGATCATCAGGTACAGCACAGGTTGAACAACTAGGAGATGAAGTTAGAGAGACCAGACTGAGATGGTTTGGACATGTCCAGAGTAGGGACAGTGGGTATATTGGTAGAAAGATGTTAGAAATGCAGCTGCCAGTGAAAAGACTATACATGGATGCAGTTGGAGAGGACATGGAGGTAGATTAAGTGTTGACAGAGGGTGCAGAAGACTGAGTGAGATGGAGGAGGATGACTCACTGTGGCGACCCCTGAAGAGGGGAAAAGCGGAAAGAATAAGGAGTCCTGATTGTTGTCAGTCTTATGGTTAATTCTTGAAAAAGTGACTGAATAATTCTAATGCATTGTTTGTTCTACATTCAATAGGTGGTTACTCGGCTAATGCTACAAGTTTCAAGTTTTTTTTTTAAATACTTGTCGTTCATTTGACTTTTTAAATTTTATACATTTGCTAAATTTGAGATGTAATTTTTATTTTATTTTATTTGGGCCACATCTTGTCATTAGGGGCTGATGGTGGATCTTGAAGCTGGACCAGTTGAGAACAATGTTCAGTCAGGTCATCTGGATGGTTTATTTTTTCACTGAGATGTTTCATCCTTCATCCAAAGTACTTCTTCAGTCCAAAGAGACACAAACACACTGGACTCCCACAAGCACCAACTTCCATAGTGGGAAAAAAAAAAAAAACTGTTTGCTGGTGACTATTTTTTTTTCCACTATGGGAGTTGGTGCTTGTGGGACTCCAGTGTGTTTGTGTCGCTTTGGACTGAAGAAGTACTTTGGATGAAGGACGAAACATCTCAGCAATAAAAATGAAACTGTCAAGATGACCTGACTAAACATTGCTGGATTTGTACCTGGATTATTGAGCATGAACTTTGGGGACCATTTGAGAACCACTCCTTGTCCAATCATGTTTTTATACATGGGGTCTGATGTCAAAAAGTGCTGCGGCCTCAACTTTTATTTATTTTATTTTTTTGACAAGTTTTTCCATGGGTGTGTTATAAGAAGGTAAAATCTCAGAATAATTAAGTGGGAGCTGCAGCTTTTGTATGTTTACATTGTTTCATCTAGAATTAACTTCATAACGCAGTACATGGATGCCTTTGGTCTTGTCAAGAAGAACCTAACCTGTGCTGCTGTGTTACCTCTCTCAGACCACACCACTTGATAAAGAGAAGCAAGTTTTCAGAAGATGCCACCAGGATGTAAAGCTTGTAGCTAACCTCCCACACAGTTCTGGGGCCGGCACCTCGAACAGTGTCAACCCAGTCCTGTCTCCTGCTGGTTTCACCTCTGAATCTGAAGATTATTCCCCAAATTCAGCTGACACTGTGCATTCACCAATCTCTCCATTCTAAACCTTCCAGAAATCACAACATTGTCTTGTCTTCTGTGGGAAAGGTTGGGTGAGAGGGCGAGGGGGTTATACAATGGAAACAATCTGCTGACTTGGACATTCATACCCCATAATGACTCATTTGTTTTCACACAAGGTACATACAAAACTAAAAGAAAACTCATTGAAATAAAAATACAGTTTGATGGCATGTGACAAATTAGCTATAAAATATTTAAATTTTTAATAGATTAAGACATTTTTATTGATCCAAAGTTCAAAACAATCAAATTTGTCTTTGTTGGCCCTTCCATTCTCCCCCACCCAGAAATCACACGTTTCTAGTTTTACTGTAGAGCCCTCTGGAGGTTGATATTTGCATTACAGGATGGACCACCAGATTTATTTTAATTTGAATTTATACATAAGCACCTTAGCTTCTACTTATTATTTATTTATAGCATATTTAGTACATTTTTTTTTTTTTTTTTTTTTTTAAACAATTCACTTCCAAACATAACTGCATTAGTCAACTTGTGTGTGCCGACTTTACTGCTTTGTGCTTCAGGGCCCAAAGTTTGGGTATAGTACTGCCCTTTGACTTTAGTAATACAAGAGAAATGTTTCTATACTGCACCATAAGCATCATTTGGACTGGATAGAAACTTTGAAGAAAATGATCTATCCTTGTATTCTAGTAGCTTGTCTCTTCATCAGACCATACAAAAGGTGCTAATGTTGGATAGCTGGTCTAATTTAACAGTCCACTCAAAGATTGCAAAGTTGTAGCTCTTGGTAGAGTGACTGTGTCATGATACAAATGAATGTCAGTGCTATATTGCCTTGGCACATTTGGACTTAAGTTCAATTAAGTCTACTGCCCAATGTGCACAAAGTAAAATATGCCCTTTTAAAATGCTGAACTGACAGATTGTGTTTCTGGTATTGTTGACAAATGACTGACATGCTTCTCTATTAGATGGGGGCAACTGATGCAACATGAATTATTTTCTCACATTAAGTTAAATGTTTAAAAATTTAGCAGTGCTTCCAGTAAAACTACATTTTTGAATAAGTAATAGAAGCAGCTCTTTTGTTGAACATAACTTTGATCAAATAACTCTGATCTTCTGTGTGTCAGATCAAATATTCATGGATGTGAATGTCCTTTTGACTTCAGAGACCCTAACCTGCATGTGCGCTGATATATAAACCTTTCAGCTGTTCATCTTTGACTAATATGTTTGTAAAATATGAAATGTTTGCTGCTGTAACTGTCTTATGATTGTATTTCAGTTATGCTTAATGTTATTGATAGCAAAACTAAGACATCTGTATGTGTTTTTATGCACAGTTTTGTTATCAAAGGGCTTTTGTGTTTTGTTTGGAAGGAATAGAAACAAAAAAGCACAAGGAAATAAATTAGTGGTGGCAAGTTACAAAAAAGAATAGGTTTACTGCAGTTGTTTTCAATGTCTGAAAAATGTAATGGGTAGTTTGGAGTTAAAATGTTAATGGGATGTTAGATGATTGTGAATGCTGGTGTTTTGTTGAAGCAAAGAAAAGCTGAATGTCATTTTATTTAAACATTCTGTAAATATGCCATAAAGCAACATGAATGAGTTGGAAAAAATAAATCTGTTGTAGATGAACACCAAAGTTTCTACAGTTTTTTTTCTTTTTTTCACTGAAACGCTATCAATTTTAGTGTCTATTGTTAACCAGCAGATGGCAGTAAGAGCAAAGATCCCAGACTAACATTTAATTATTTTAATTTACAAATTTCTAGTATTTAATAGTCTTCATATAAAACAGACAGCTTTACAAGTAAATTTACTTTTTATTTTAAAAAAATAACGTAATTGAATTTTGATGTCATCAGTATCTGGCCATGTTTCATTTCAACCAAAACAAATGCAAACTGGTGGCAGCACAGCTGAAAGTACATGAAATCTCAAAGCACTGCATTTATTTAAGAATTTACTTACTACAAATTTTCTCAAATCTTTATTCAAAATGAAGACCATTTAGCATGAAAGCTAAGTAAAACTGTCTTTACATAGTTTCTTTGCATGCAAAATGACTGCTTTTGGTAGAATGGTGTCATGTAGCACCAGCCATTAAAAGAAAAAACATATACATTTGCATATTTTTGTTGAAAGATTAACACAGCTCAGAGCAATGCTTTGATCATCATACCAAAAATAGGAGTCGTTTTTGTCCTGTTCATCAATAGGACATGCCACAAAACAGAAAACCTTCCTCAAACCCACTTAGCAACAAATTGATATTGCTTACATGAGCATGAAATGATGGAATTAACTGCTGGTTGTGAAAAAACGTACCTAAAATAGTCAGGCCAGAATTGGAACAAAAGTTAGCAAACTGAAAAAAATACAATAGTATTCACATATGAAGTGAAATCATTTACATGATTTATTTTTTAAATGCACTACAAACAGAAATAAATATATTTTATCAAACAATTGTTATTTAAACATCTGGACACAACTGTTAAACTCTTGTAAAAGTCTCAAAATAAGTTTACTTTTGAAGTAGTTAAGTTTTAAATTTGAAATAAATATGGAAATATCATTTTATTGTGGACATATTAAAAACATTTATCACAAAGGACAAAAATCACACTGACTTTGACTTACAACAAACATGGACTGTTTTTTTTTCTTTTCACAAACACATTTAACCACCATATAAGTGCAGACAATGGCCTTGTACATGTAACTATTCAACAAATATCTAAACGGAAAAAAGACTAGTTCAATATTTATTCATGGCTTCCATGATAAAATGGTGATAATGTATGTCAAACATCATTTTGACCCTTTTGTTTAGCTTATGCAGTTAGAAAAACGTAAAACGGTCTATACTCAGATAAGCTTTTCACATAAAAAGTATTCCAAAAATTAATTGAACAAATGTTCTTAACAGAAGTTGATTTTGCAACACTTGTTCAGGTTGAAAGGAAAACAGTCTTATTTGTAATCGGGTTTTTTTTTTTTTCAGAAGATCAGCTCAGCTTGAGTCAACTGAAGACTGTTGTTTTTCATGTAAGATGTGAAAACCAACATTATGTCCAGATTGTTTAGCAGCTGTGGAAAAAAAAAAAAGTTTATCCGAAAGATCAGATGTAAATGTCAAATTCTTTGTCATGCTGATGTTCTCCCTTCGACGTGACCTCTTGGATGCTCTTTTTATCTTCTGCTGCCCAGCGTCATCACAGGTTGATCTTTTAGCTTTCCAAATCTTTTTGAAGGCATTTGTCTCATCAGTACCTGTTTTGGTGTTCGTAGTGCCATCGGTTAAAATCTATGTTAAATGCCACAATACTGCCAGATGCCATGCCTGTGATTAAAGTCCTAAGGAAGAATAAAACACAAAATTACAATAACTAAAAGCAGATTGTACAAAGAGAACAGAACTGCTGGTTTTATGTGTATTAAAAGCATAATGAAGTACTTAAAAAAAAAAAATTGAATATATACTGTATTATGTTTTTGTATTTTTTCACAAAACTGACATTAACTGAAAAAGTCCCAGCGTCTTTCTGCAACCTTTTGTCCATGCCTGACTGGTACGTACAAAAGCAGCCGGTTCTCTGGGGTTGCGTTTCACTGCTACACCCCCAAGGGCCTAAACTTTCAGGCACAATGAACAGCGTTGCTGCAGAAAGGCCCTCTGTGAATGCAGCTAGAGCTCAACTCACTTCTGCTAACCTAATGTCAACTTACTGAAACAAAAGGTTGGAGCTAAAGACTTTAAAAAATATTTAACAGATTTGTTAAATGACATCACCAAAGAAGGTTACTGTACTCATAGCAACTGTAGTAAGGATAGGTTAACAATATATAAATATATATATATATATAT